CTAGAGAAGGACGTAATGCTGTGTAAGATGGAGGGTCAGAAAAAGAGAGGAAGACCCCCAACAAGATGGATCAGTCAGGTGGCATCATTGATGGCGTTAAGTGTGGCAGTGGTAGTGAGGTTGGTCCAGGATCGGACATTGTTTCGTTCTACTGTGCATGGGGTCGCTATGATTTGGCTCCAACTCGATGGCACCTGACAACACAACAAGACATGGTCTACTCTGGAGAATGTTCCCTGTGCACTGGAAAAGAATGTGTATTGTGCTGTTGTTGGGTTGAATGCTCTGTACACATCTACGATGTCCAGTTGGCTGATTGTGTTGTTCAGTTCTTCTTTGTCTTCGTCAAGTTTCTTTCTGGTTGTTCTATCTATTTTTGAAAGCAGTGTATTAAAATCACCCACTGTTATGGTAGATTTGTCTATTTCTTTTTTCAAATCTATTGGAGTTTGCTTTATATATTTTGGATCTCTTTCATTGGGAGCACAGATATTTATTATGGTTATGTAATCTTGTTCAATTGACCCTTTAATCATAAGGTAATGTCCATCTTTGTCTAATATGCTGGTTTTTGCCTTAGTTTATTTTATCAGCGATTAGTACTGCCACTCCTGTTCGTTGTTTTTTTTATTATTATTATTGCAATTAGCTTGGTATATTTTTTTCCATTTTTGACTTCCCATCTGTTTTTGTCTGTGTGAGATGTGTCTCTTGCAGACAACAAATTGAAGGATCTTATTTTCTTATACATTCTGCCACCATCTCTTAACTGGCGCATTTAATGTTTACAGTCAGTGTAATTATCGATAGGTATGGATTAATTGCTGCCATTATGTTTTGTTTTTGTTTTTGTGGTGTTGTTGCTTTCTTTGTTCTGTGTGTCTTCCTTTGCTGAGTTCATGCTTTTTGTGCTCTTTCTTGTGAATTTCCTCAGTTTTAATGTTTCCACATTCCTGGATTTTCATTTTATTGGTATGTTGTGAAGTGTTAATTTTCTTTGAAATTACTTTATAGTCCATTAACTTTTCCCTCCATTTAGTGCAGTCTATTTTATCCTGTAATGTACCTAACCTTCTCAACATTTGGATCTCTGTTCCTACAGTTTATCTTCTTTTATGTTGTAATTGTTTTGTTCATAGACTGACCTCCCGGATTCTCTGAGTTTGTTCTTACAGTTTTGTTCTGTTCTCGACATTTCCTACTGTCGATTTAGTTCAGGGAGGTGATGCCACGTGTGTCAGTCTCTGATTGTTGTCTGTTCTTGTTGGTTCTCAGTCCACAGAACTCCCTTTGGCAAAATCCCTTAGCTTGTTTATCCTGGAATGTTTTGATTACACCATCATATTTGATTGATACCTTTGCTGGATAAAGGATTCTTGGTTGGTAGTTTTTTTCTTTCATGGTTTTATATATATCACCCATTGCCATCTTGCTTGCATGGTTTTTGTTGAGAGATCTGAGCTTAATCTGACTTGCTTGCCATTGTATGTTACACTTCTGTTTTACCTAGCTGCTTTCAGGAGTGTCTCCTTATCTTTTATTTTGGAGAGCTCAATTATGATATGTCTCAGTGATTTCCGTTTGCAGTCTATCCTTCTTGTGGCGTTCCTTGAGCTTCTTCAATATTTATCTTTTCAGGATGTTAGAGAAATTTTCTTCCAGAAATTCGTCAAGTATTTCCTCTGTGCAATTATGTGATTCTTCCTGTTCTGGAATGCCGATAATTTTTAAGTTATTCCTCTTCATGTTGTCCAACATGAATCTTAGATCTTCAGATTTTTTCCCCTCCTTTTTTCTGTTTGCTCTTTTTAGTGGTATTGAGACATTTGTCTTCCAGGTCACTGGTTCTGCCTTCCATCTCTTCTATTCTACTCCTTTACCCTTTCAGTGTATTGTCTATTTCTGAGATTTTATTATTGATCGTTTGGACCTCTTTCTGTAGGTTTTGAATGGTTTCAAATGCTGTATCTATCTTATTTGATTGTTCCTGTAGCACTTTCCTGCCTTCTTCCTTATTTTTCTCAACTGCATTGGGAACTGTTTTGAAACATTTTATAATCATTTTTCTGAATTCTTTCTCAGGTATTTCCAAGGGCTGCCCTCCTTCCAGAATGGAGTCCAGGTCTACCTCTAGGTCATTTCTGCTAGACATTTTATTGTGTTTTTGGACATGTGCTGATATGGTCATCACCTTTTGCTTCTTGGGCATGTTTAATGTTTATCTGTGGCCTTAATACTCAGTTATGTATTTTGGTATGTTTTATGCTTTCTGATTGCTTCCAGGTAGATGTGATCACACTCTTCTTATTGCTTAACTTACAGTAACTTTCACAGGTGTTGTCTGCCTCCCTGGTATATGGCAGTTGGTATTGGTTCTTGCCTGGAAATTGGATTTTTATACAGCGTGATTGGAGCTTCATTATATGGCATTGGTTGCTGTCTCTTCTTGGGTGATACAGGGAAAGAAAGAGTCCCCCAAAGGTAGAAGTGGAGCATAAAACAGCAACCACAAAAATAACAAAAATTAGACTGGATACTGTAGGCTATAATCATAGAAAAGGGAGAGGGGTGAAAGAAGGGGAAAAAAATATATCTCTAGTGTAATGAGTATGAGTTTCATGTCCTCTTTCAGCCTCTTGCCTTCAAAGCTGAGAGATTTCAAGATGCCACTGTCGGTTGTTATGCTGTACCTCAGGATTTAATTTAATTTTTGGCCTGTTTTGTTTTTAAACTCTCTTTCCCACTCCACACCACTTGTTTTCTGGCCTTTGCCAAATTGAAAAAAAAAAACACTTCAGGGCCTGCTCTTGTGCTGAGAGTATCTGTGTGCATGTGTGGGAGTCCAGCTCTCTCAGGGTCATGGGACACGAGAGGAGACGCGGAGTCGGCGAAAATGGAAGCAACTGAAAAGCCTCTGCTTAGTTGGCTGATGGGGCTCTGTTTTCCTTCTCTCTCTTTCTGCCCAGGCTCAGCAAGTCTTTATTTTTATACTTAAAATTACACAGTACAAAATTATTTGATACTTTGATTATCCGTTCAATTATTACAGTTTTAATCATAACATTCCTTCATTGTGATCATACAAGCTTAACAAAAGTATTTCTGTGATGTCCAAACTGACCTTTCCATATTCTGTTCATTTTTCAACTACTGAACATTTTCCTTTTCACATCATCTCCTCTCCTACGTAAGTGAATTGTTCTTCTTATTTCTACTAAAATATCAAGTTAAACCTTACAAAAATCATTTGCACTTCTCAGACCTCTGATTACATCCTCTTAGTAATATAAGTTTCTATTACTCATCAATGGCTACACTATTATTTCTACTATCAATTTTCTATCCTATATAACGTACTATTTTTCATAGTAAAGGTATTACTAACATCTACTTAATTATTTTGTTTTTCTAAAGTATTCATTAGATTGCTAAATCACAGTGTTCCTATATTCCTTTCTTTTGAAGCTGTGAGGCATAAGGCCCAACATGGCTAATTGCTGCATGAAATGTAGATTATTAAGTTTAGACTATTTTTCACGTATGCTCGCTATTCTCTGCCTATTTACACAGGTGCCTGTATGTAATAGTGGGGATCTGTGGATTCTGGATGGTAATTGATTGTGGTGAGGTCCATAGGGGTCGGTCAACTTTACTTCAGTTTGTTCTCTGATTTTGTGAGCTCATAAATGCAGCTACTTTATACTTAGGTGTTCTGTGATCGGGAGTGGCTTATACAATTCCCTTTGAATTCAAACCACTGAAGTTAAAACATTTATTGCCAGACTGGTTTCTTCCCAAGGTCTCCAGAGCTCACAGTAAAGGCTATGAATACGGCCATATTATATATTTTTACAAGTGAATTTAGAGTTATCCTAGAGAAAAGATAGAAGCCAGCTTCTGAGAATCATCTGCTTTGCATGACGTTTCTCCTTCTGCTGGGACCGTGTCAAACAGCAGAAGCCAAGCCGCATGCGTGGCAGAAGAACTCACCAGTGGTGAGGGTGGGGGGGTGTGTACTCACTCAGGCACCCCCCTCTAGTCACCAGAAGGAGGTGTGCAAACAGTGGGTGGCCCATGAACCAGAAAAAGAAAATCAGAACAAAGTGAAACCGACAAAGTGTATTGTCCACCTTTGCTCTGAGGTTCCCGCAGCGTTTTTCCATGGTGTGTCTGCTCCAACATTGCTCTTGCTCTTTGGTCTCACCCAAGTTGGTGAGACTCTGGGCCACCAAGCCAGGGAAATTAAAACGTACACGATTTTTTACTTTCCTACAAGTTCCACTAGCTATAAGACTTCTAACTTTTAAAGTATTCCTAACTATGTGGTTCTGAGTTTTGGAGCTCATCAATGAACCTGCTTTGCCTGGTATTCTGTGGTATGGCTGACACGATGGTCTGAGGAGAGGTTGGTTGGAGCAAAGTCAACGGGAGAGGTGTAGATTGGTGTTCTATGAGAGATGTGGTTCAAGGGTCCAGGGGGACATTAAGCCAGAGAACTATGTTTCCAGGTGGTTTGTGAGGGAGTGGTCATTGAGAGAGGAGGCTATACTTCCCAGGGAATCAAAGTGCTCCCTTCTTAGAGGGTCCCAACTTCTCTCCCCAGGTCCACATTAGATTCTCCAATCATTTAGTTAGATTCTACACTTCACCTTTTCAGGGGCCAAAGTGCTGTGGAAATCTGGGCTGAGAATGTGAGTTCTCTGTGTCTTCTCTGATGAGGGAGTAAGGTATGTGGCTTGGACTACAGCTCTGTGTGAAAGCTACATTTACTACAAAAGACTAAAGCATCATGGAAGAGGATTGGCAGAGCCACCTGCCCACTTCAGGAACCCTTGGGGTTTCTCGACATCTTCCCTTGACATGAAAATGGAGGACCTGCTTACCCACTTATTTCTGCGCTCTTCACTCTATTGGGAACTTGCTCTGAAGCCTCTCAAAGCTGGGGAGATGGAGGTGTGTGTTGGCAGTATTTTCTTCTCCTGGGTCCAATGAGGTGTGACTTAATCACCAAAGTTTTGCCCAGATTCCCTGCAGACATAGGGATTCTTCCCTGAGTGTGTCCTCTGGTGTCTGATGAGGGCTGACTTCTGACTAAATCCTCTCCCACACTCCTTGCAGACATAGGGCTTCTCCCCTGAGTGTGTCCTCTGGTGTATAATGAGGTATGACTTCTGACTAAAGCCTCGCCCACACTCCTTGCAGACATAGGGTTTCTCTCCTGAGTGTGTCCTCTGGTGTCTGATTAGGTATGACTTCTGACTAAAGCCTCGCCCACACTCCCTGCAGACAAACGGCTTGTCCCCTGAGTGTGTCCTCTGGTGTACAGTGAGGACTGACTTTTCACTAAAGCCTCGCCCACACTCCCTGCAGACATAGGGCTTCTCCCCTGAGTGTGTCCTTTGGTGTCTAATGAGGTCTGACTTCTGGCTAAAGCCTCGCCCACACTC